TTTTTTTTTTTATATATATATATACAGCGCGTATCGTCGCGCGAGCTTTTAGATCCGGAAAAGAAGAAGAAAAAGAGGAGAAGGAGAAGGAGAGGACAGGGGAGAGGTAGACGAGGGTGATCAGAGGAAGTGATCTATGTCGGGATTGAGAGGGGGCGGAATAGGTGGAAGAAAAGCGGCCATTGCCGCAGGAATCATCGGCGCATCTTCCTCATGGAAGTGATGCTGGATGAATGAGGGGTAAAGGAAAGCCCCCGGCACATGTGAGAGGACACGTGGCGCCAGATCCGCTACCGCTCGCACCACCCGCTTGCGCACCGATCAGGGCCCTCGACCCGTCATCACCACATGAGTCTCGGTGTAAGGCCGCCGCTCCCGCTTCTGCACCGCGAAGACAAGGAAGTGGTACATTGCGTTTGGACGCTGCCCGGCCTTGTAGATGAGCGTCCCAGCCAATCGCGCCGCAATACACCCTTGGAAAGGGGGTGTCAGATATGGCTCCCACGCCGGATCAGGGCGCAGCGCCCCCGCGATGGCCTCGAGCCTGATGGTGGTGGGCTCCAACATGAAGTCCACCTTGGTCGGATGGACCGTCCAGCTCGGATGAACTACTAATGTCAATGACCGGGGCACCCCGGGGTGGCTGGCGGGAACGGAGAGGTCCCACGAGGACGGGGGGGTCTGGATATGGGATCCGGAAATCCCATTCGGCTTCCTCCTCCGGCTGCTGCTGCTGATGATGGCCTGGCTCCATCAAGATTGAGATCGGGCATACGCGGAATGGGCGGCGATGGCACGATAGTCTCCTTAAGGAGCGTCGCCGCGCTCCCAGACACAGGGTCATGAATCCGCGTACGTGAGGGCTGAATCACCTCCACAGACCGCCGATCCTGCTGCCTTGCGCTCCTGGCGATGGGTGGCGTCTCTTCCTCTTCGGCGTCTTCTTGGGGGCCTTCGGTGGCACTGGTCGAGGATACGACGAGGGAGGACGCAACGGCCTTTCCTCCGGGAAGTCCTCCAATCTCTCCGCGCGCTGCGCAATGTAATCCGGGATGACGACCGCGTTGTACGTTCTCCGCGGGGCCGTCGTCGTCCGCAATCGTGGTTGGATCTCCTCCTCCTCGCTCGCGATCACTTGTGCAATGGAGAGGAGCTCAAGATGTATGAGCTCCAACAATCCCGGATCGATTGTCTGGAGCAGGGCAAAGGGGTACAGCGCCACCGTCCCTTCCTTCTCCGCTGGCTTGGGCCGCGCGATGACGTAGTAAACGACGAAGTGCTCCCCGATAGCGTAACCGGAACATCCCCTGCGCCACCGACTTGTACAGCGCACGGTGCAACTCCCACGCGTCTTCATCGGCGAAGGCCAGCGGCTCCACGTCAGTTAGCTCCACCAAATACTCCGAGAACTCGCGCATGGGGTAAGGGTCCTCCGTGAGCTGGTAGGGGAGGGTGGTGTAGGAGAAGAAAGGAGGCATTTAGTACGGGACAGGGGGAATAGCTTGGAGGTTGAGAGGAGCAGCGGGAGGGAGAAGCGCAGGGAGCTGCGGCACCAACGCAATCGGTCTGTCCTCTGCCCTACGCAGTAGCACTTCGTGGGCTGTGAATCGGTGCCCCCCCCGTCCTTGCACTCTGGCCACTGATCTGGCCGCTTCCACCACGTATTCGGGCACAAAGCTGCGCGCCGGTTCCTGATTCCGCTGCGGTAGGACCGTCAAGTCTCCGATGAAGGTGGCGACGCTGTGCACGAAGTTGGGTGCCACCTGGAGCGCACGGAACTCAATGAATACTAGGGTCGTCTCCCGGCCAGGCATCTGTGTCACGTCCACGTACACTCCCGCATATGTCAGCCGATCGCAAAGCAACGAGTACGCTGCCAAATCATCAACCCCGGGCGCTGGCACGTTCACCTGTTGGATGTCGTACCGCAACTGCCTCTCCTCATTAAACCGATGCCGCAACAAGCGATCTGCAAGCGGCGTCTGGAAGTGCTCGAGGGGCTCATGCTCCGGCTGGCGATGGTTCATCCTGCTCCCTGAAACTCTCAGCACCAATGGACGAGGCAGATCGGGAAGAGGAGGAGGATGAAGAAGGAGAGGGTGATCTCGCAGGAGCGGGGGTCCGTAGGGGACCTAGCGATGGCTGGAAGGGCCGGAGCGCAGCAGCGTGCCGTGTCAGCAGTCGGGCCTGGGAGTTGTGACGGGGAATCAGCTTCACGGAGTGCTGTCCCTATGTGCCAACTTCCGTGACCTCGTAAATGCCTGTGTAGCGCGGGTGGATCTTGGAGGAACGCGCAGATTTCCATACCTTCACCAAGTCCCCAACTTTATAGCGGGACAGTGGTCCCGCCGACGCGTGTCGATTCTCGTAGTCACGGATCTACCGTTGATGTGTTCGATCTACGGCCTGGTGTCAACGGCGAGCTAACGGGGGATAGGCCCTAGCCATTAAGTCCATGTAGTGGCGGGCCTTGTCTCGATTCTGGGCCCGTGTTGCTCTAACTTTCGTACCTACTAAGGGGGACAATTGCACACGAGGGACACTATTGGTTCTCAGTTGAAAGGGGGACACCCCACTACTACCGTGTGGGGTAGCCCGATAAACGACCAAAATGTGATCGACAATGACCGGCCATCGTCGGGTGTCTCCCGCAGTGATATTTCGTCTAAGGGCCGTCTTAATCAGTCGGTTGGCATTCTCTACCAGGCCATTGGCTTGAGGCCAATGCCCCGGTGAGTAGATAATCTTAACGTCCGCCCTGACTAGGTGACGTTCTACTTCGCCTTGAAATTCCGACCCATTGTCCATGTGTACCTCTTCTACGTCTAGATGCATGCACAAAAATCGATTTACATACCAAGCTACTTCCTGCGGATTCCGGCTGGTCATAGGGTACGCCTCGATCCATTTTGAAAAATGATCGACGGCCACTAAAAGAACATCGAGCTCTCCCTAATCGACGGGCCCTCTCGGAATGTTGATATCCGTCGTATCGATGCTAACCCTCTGAAAGGGGCGCTCTACACGAGTGGGAACCATCGTCCGAGGCATCTGTACCGGCGCCTTATCCGCCGTGCAGGCCGGGCAATTCTGAACGATGTATTTCACATCTTTCCGAATTCCCAACCAGTACCATCCGTTCTTTTCGATGGCTTTTTCCGTGTACTTGACCGCGAAATGGACCGCATCCTCCTCATGAGCAGCTCGTGTCCAATCGAACCTAGCAAGAGGGTTTGGAACCGTCAACCGGCTAGACTCTCCGTCGTCATCAACCTTCCGTTTTTGTAACGTCGAGCCCTGCCAGCGATAGTCCTTCGCCCGCTCCGTGACTCTCCGCCGTTCGGCTTTGGTAAGTTCTGACAACGAGTCGCCTGACAGTCTCCACAGCAACAGAAGGTCCATCCAGGTTTCTGCCCGGCGGGCACTTGGCGCAAATCCGTCGGTTGTTCTAGCGTCCAGATACCGCTTCTCGGTAAGGACTTGGTCCGTTCTACAGTTGGGACGGACCCACGTCTTTTCACTTCGGTACCTAACGCACTGTCCGTGAGATTTGACCGTATAACACTGACTACACTGTACCCATAAAAGAAAACTGGGCCCTCCCAGATGTGACCCTTCTTGGTCCGGGATCATAGGCAAGGTACAGAAGAAACAGGGACTTAGGTGTGTTTCAGGGGACAAGTTGGGGCTAGACGAGAGAGCGAGGGAGTGGGATGAGGGCAGAGAGATAGCGTCGGCCATCTCCGATGAAACCTCCATTCCGTACTCAGGCGTCGTCCTTACGCAGCATGTGTAGCTCCCCGTAGTGCGGTTTCGTCGCCGCGACTTCTGGCCTCCACGGAATGAGTCGCTCGTTGGCGGGACACTTGTTGGGCAGCAGAAGGTGCGTTAATCCATCGGCGTTACCATGCTGCCGCGTGGCACGGTGGCAGATGTCGAAGTCATAGTCTTGCAGACGCACCGCCCACCTGCCCAGCGTCCCCGTGTAGTCTGTGTTGTTGCGTAGGGACAGTAGCGGCTGATGATCCGTTACCAGCACGAATTTCTGGTCGTACAGATACAGTCGGAAATGCTGAATCCCCCACACCACCGCCAGGCATTCACCTTTGCACGCTTCGTAATTAGCCTGCACCTGGCTCAATGTCTTGGACGCATACTCAATGACGTGCTCCCTTCCGTCCTTGCCGTGCCGAGTCAGCACCGCCGATATCGCCTGAGGCTGCCAGTCTGTGTACAGTGCGAACGGTCTTGTCGGGTCGGGGCGTGCCAACACAAGAGCAAATGTCAGAGCCTCCTTCAATGCCTGAAACGCTGCTTCGCATTCCGGCGTCCAGATCAGCTGTTCCTCTTTCTTCAGCAGGTTCGTGAGGGGCTTCGCTATGCCGGCGAACCCCTTGATAAAGCGTCGGTAATAGGATGCCAGCCCTAGAAAAGCCCGAACCTGGGTGAGTGTGACACGCGCTGGGGCGTCTTGAACTGCTGCCACCTTCCTCGGATCCGGTTTTAGTCCGTCGACTATGACGATATACCCCAAGAATGAGATCTCCGACAAGAAGAACTCGCTTTTCTCCAAGGCCACTTTGAACCCTGCATCTTTCAGTGCATGCAAAACCCACTCAATGTGTTCCACAGGGTACTCGTGTGTTTTTGAAAAGACCAAAATATCATCCATGTACACAATCACGCAGAAATTGATCAGGGGCTGGGTTAGTCGGGTTTTGTTAACGAACTCGGCGAAGGCCATATTCATGGCCCGCTGAAACGTTGCAGGGGCGTTACAAATTCCCATGGGACACCAGACCCATTGCCACGTGCCCTCAAACAGGACAAAGGCAGTTTTGGGTCGGTCCTCCGGTCGGACTGCGACGTGGTGAAAACCGTGAACTTGGAAAAGACTTGAGCGGTCCCGATAGCATCTAACAAATCATCGATTCGCGGCAAGGGATACACATCTTTGGTAGTGATGGCGTTCAATTTCCGGTAGTCGATACATACCCGAACCGAGCCATTTCGTTTTGGCACGAGGACCACGGGAAAAGACCATGGTCCCAGCGATGGTTCGACCCACCCCAACCGCTCGAATTCCCGTACCCTTTCCAACGCCAGCTGCCTTTCTTTAAGGGAATATTGGTACGGTCGGCAATGTATCGGGGCGTGATCACCGGTGTCAATCGCGTGTTGTATCAAAGGGGTTAGCGCTATTTCGTGGTCCTGAATGCTGACGGCCTCAGGATAGGCCCGTATAACCGTCAAGAGGAGGCGTTTGTATTCGTCCGGAACACGGGCTGGTAACTGAACTTCTACGGTTCCCCCAGGAAAGGAGACCGTCGTCGTAACCGTGGGGACCGCCGCGTTGGCATCGAGTGAGGCCCCAAACAAAGAGTTGTCGGTTTTCGCCGAAAGGACCGTCGCAATAAGTTGGCTGTCCGCCTGACTCATCGGCTCGCTTTCCATGTCACTGTCACTATCTAGTTCGGGTTCGGCCAAAGGTTCGACCGAAAAGGCCTGCGCCAGTTCCCTCGGTCCCCACCGATACTTCCTCGTTCGGGGTTGAAACGACACCCCCTCTTTCAGGAGTATCGCGGCTTTTTCATTTGTGAGTAGGGGGCGTGGAGGTCGAAAAGATAAATCGCACAGCCCCCTTAGCTCGGTAAATCTTTCAGGTAGGGGGTCCGTCCGGAGATACAAGAACGCAGGGGGTTCCGAAAGGTCAGCTATTCGGGACACCCTCAGCAGGGGTTCCCCCTGCACCACGGAGGAGAACGCGTGCAACCAATTGGACTCGCTCCGAACTATTTCCAGTGGTTCTCGCCGCCAAGAATGGCGCCACCGATCCTGTACTCGGATCAGATATCGGTCGGGTGCATCAGTCTTGTCAGCTTCCGTCGAGGGTTCCTTTTCGTCTGGTGACAGGCGTCGGATCATGTTGATTTGATGGGCTTTAGTGGTGAGGCGAGGCGCCGGCTGGGTGCGCATGCGCACCGCCAGTCTCATTGGTTTCGTTTGGGGTTTGGGGTGGGCCGATGTGAGCACCACCTTACAGCTGTCAAAGTGCATTCACGCTCCGACCGCCGCCTGCCACGGAATGCCTAGCAGAACATCATACGCCTATACATCCAGCACGATCACGTCACACAAACAATGCACCCGCCCCACCCGTATGGGCACGTTCGTTATCCGCCCTTTACAATGAATACTATCTTCCGTAGCGGATATATACAGTTCATCCGGCCGAAGGGGCTGAACCTGTCCTTTCCTTCCCAACTGTTTCGTCAATCTCCAAGAAATGGCGACCGCCGATGATCGCGAGTCTAGGATGGCGGCCGAGGGGTTTCCCCAGACCTGACAGTCACACTCTACGCTTTTCCAGGTTATAGGATAGGCCCGGAGGAATACCTCGGGTTTTTCCGAGGCAGAATCTACGGTCTGTATCATTCCTATCCGGTTGGCTTCGTGCACCTCTGAGGTCGAGGGCTGTGACTCCTCGTTAGTGGGTGGGTCCCGTAGGACCGGCTGTTTGCCCTTTCGACTTTCCTCGAATCGGTGCCTGTTTTTGAGGCACCGTTCGATCAACTTTTCGTTAGCCGCTTCAAAAATGGTTAGCAGATATGGAATAGGGACGGGGATCCGAAGATCCAGAGCCTTCAAGGCATCCAATACGTCGGGACCAGGTACCGCAAGATCCTCGAATCCTGGTCGCCACGACCCGAGGTCGCTTTCCTCGGTAATTCGTTGGACGTGACGTATCACTCCGATGGTCCCGTGTTCGAACATTGTTGCCGCCATGTACTCATCGGGTCCTATCTCAGTGGCCGCCGGGGTCACCATCTTCGTCGTTCCTGTGTCCATTACCGTGGCTACCCTCCCCTGTCCTGCAACGGTGGGAGCAGCCATCGGGATTTGGGAAGGTCTGGTGGGCCCGCCCTGAGTTCGGGGTTTCGGACAATCTTTCGCAAGGTGGCCTGGCTGATTACAGTTATAACAGCGTAGGGGTGGGACAGCCCCGGCCACGGCCAGTCTTATCATAGGGGCTCCGGCAGCCATAGCCGCCTGTTGTCGTTGTGCGGTGGCTATGCGTTGCCGTTTCAAACCTTGAACAAACTATGTCAACGGGGCTACTACCGTAACTAGTTGGGTCGCGACTTCTTTCATGGATGCTTCTTCCTCGCCCCGGCTTCCTTGCGTTTGACTAGAGCGACGGGAGTTCGAAGCAGAGGAAGAAGCTTTCCGATCCAAGCCTTTTTTTGTCGGTCCCACCCTGAAGCGATCTTCGAACATTCGTGTCGTAGCGGAGTAGTTATTGCGTCGAACACTCGAAGGGTCATCTTCGTCGGATTCTGAGTCCAGGCCCACATCGTAATTTTCTTTCCCGTACTTAATTGCGTACTGAATTAGCTCCATCAGGGTATGTTCTATAGGGTTGCATTTCTTGCGGATTTTTTTCCGCAGACGAGAGTTTGACAGTCCTCTGACAAAATCAGTCCGTACCATTTTCTCATCCACCCCGGAGCGTTCGGCTAGGTACGTAAAACGTTCAGCATATCTAGCCAAGGTCTCCCGAGGCTGGTGTGTGTATTCCTTTATTAAACGGAGGCATTGACCAGGTGCGATGTGATCAAATCTATCGAGAAATTTCCTCTGGAAGGCTGCCCAATTAGTGAAGGGGTTTTGTCCGTACCACTCAAAAGCGGTTCCGGCTAACCTTCCGGGAATTCGTTCTCGGAGCAACTGGTCCGACCAGCCTTGGGCTTTCAAGGCAGCTAGCCAGGTGAGAGGATCGGTGTCATCTTCAGAAAAAATGGGAACTTCGGAGGGAGGAGGTACAAAGTACAGGGGATGATTGGTCATCCCCGTGTGGTTGTCGCCGTCGTTTTCACCCCCGATTCCGGGTTCCACCATCGCAGGAGGCGGGTTTCGAGCCCGGCCCCTCGCTCGGTTCTGATTGTCATTCGCGGGCCTCCGTCGACGGGGAGCCAGCCTACTCGAAAATGCAAAAAATCTTATGAAAAGATAAAAAAGAAAAAGGGGGAAACTTTAAAACAGGGTAATCGTCCTAGGAAAACCTCGGAGCCGAAACGAATCAGCTCTGATATCAACCTCACGCCCCCTCGCAGCTTCCCATACGGGGTCGCCGATCAGAGTTCTAGGAGGGGCGTGGCCGAGGATTTTTTGCCGTAAGGGTTGAGTCTCCCGGACGGAACGGGAGGCTCTCGTTTCTTGGCCGAGTTTTTTCTCAGAGTCGAACTGTCATCGCGAAGTCCTGCGGGAGTCGGATTACTCCGAAACGATAAAATCAGAAGGGTTTCTGTGAAAATGAATTGCCGTCGTGCATCGGGACGGGAAAAGGCATCAAGGGGAGGAGGCCATGGCGGCAGACGGCAAAAAATCCGGACGTCATGGGTTCCGGGGATAGATGGTGGGTTCGAAGCCTTCAGGCCTCTTCATCGGCCTCACGAAGTGGCCGAACCCTCGGGTCTTTTGCTGTAGAGGTGATTGGTTCGAGGCCTTCAAGCCTCGGTGTCGGACTCATAGAGCCCGCGCGAAAGTTTTCGGGAGGGTAAAGCGGCGGGAGGACTCGGCGGCATCTGAATTCGAAATTGCGCAGGCAGCGCCCCCGCACTATGGGAAAGCTCGGGGAAACGTGTCGCTCCCTCGTAACCCAAGACCAGTCGTCGCCACGAACGCGAGTCCCCCTGGTGACACCAGCGACAATCAAACTGCGGTCGCCACGCGGCGTGAGCGGCCGACCAGGGCAACACCGTTAAACCCGTATAAGGCAATATTAGAGTCGGGGAATCAAAGCGATCAATCAACACAAACCCGTTCCCCCTTATCTCACAAGCCCGAGGCGGGTCTTGCCAACACACTTGCTCCGTCCGCCTCAGCACGCGTCTTACGTCCGCATCGCAGTAGATGCTGTCGTCATCTGTGATGGGGAAGGTCGGTAGCGAAATGAGACGATCGGAGGTACGTGATGAACACGAGCAAGATCCCACGTTCCCGGTCATCCGAACCAACACCGAATCCATACGACAATCGTTGCAACTCTTCTCTCTCAAAAGTGGGTGCGTAGGGGGAGGATGACGAAATCTAAGCTTTCTCCCCTTGGCGGGGGCGTCGACTGTCCGTGCGGACGCAGGCGGTTGACGTCACCGGTACGGGGACGAGAGGCTCTAAAAGGCGATGATTGTTAGTTCAAAAGGAAGGCAATCGAAGAGGGAGAGAGAGAGTTACGCCAAGACCGCGCGAGAGCGCAGGAAAGGCCGCGGAGGGGAGGGGAACAACCGGATCAACACACTCATACTCCTAACTAGACGGTCCCCTAGTTCAGTTTCCCCATCCCCGCCCGGACGAGTACATACACACATACATGCATGCAATCAACAACCCTTGACAGGACATCTAATCATCCATGGACCTTCGACGTTACCCATGCGCATAACCAGCTCCCATCACTCGGGGCTTCACACACACGACATGCATAGACAAAGCAGCGATGGAGATAAAAGCGAGTCCTTCTTGTACACAAAAATTTCAATTAACTGCTGCCCCCAGGCACAGCCTTCAAAACTTCCCAAGACCACCGACCACCATAGCCACAAGGCCCTGCCGCGGCCGGCGTCCAATCCCCACCACTGCTCAGTCCCTCCGACTGCTTCGCCCCGAGACTACCGCGAAGTCCACCCCACGTCGTCACTCCGCCCGGCCTTGGGCTCGTCGAGCCTATTCGGCGCCGCGGACTCTCGCGCATAGCTCGCGCAACATTGCAGCCGAGATCAAAGAGAGGGAGAGGAGAGGGTTGCGCAAATTTATAGCGCGGGAGGCGGCGGGTTAACAGCGCGAGGTGTAGATGAGCAGGACAGGAGAGAGAGGTGGGGAGTTAGAGGGTTCGATCCTCGGG